TAGTAGTAGTAGTACTAGTAGTATTGCAGCAGCAGTGACAGTAGTAGCAGCAGTAGCACCAGGACCAGCCGCAGCAGCCGTCGCCGTCATCGTCACCGTCCTCGTCGTTGTCGTGGTCGGCAGGAATTCTAATTCAGCAACACCGCACTACTCCTAAACCCTCAACTCCTCGAACTTGGCGGCGCTGGTGAAAGCCACGACCAAGTTTCCGATGTCAAAGCGAGGGAGGTGGGAGGCGACGAGCTGCATCCTAAGCTTATTTTAGGGGTTTGAATCAGGGTTTAAGTCTAGGACATTTTCAGGCGGGTAGTTACCGTTATAGGAGCGTTATAGAAGGTCTATATACCTTATGGAAGCCTTATAGAAACCCTATATACCCTAAACTCCCCCACCTGTAGTTTCCTTTAATTAAGCTCAAGATGTGCAAAGTTGGGGGTTTTGTGCTTGGGAGTCCAGGATTTACCCCACCTGCCGGCAAGCTGAGCTTCGAACCAAACTGCCCAAAATCAATCGGCCCAGTTCCAGCCCCGGAGTGGCCCCACGATCTCGTACCCATGTACTGTAGGGGCCTAAATAATTACCTATACTATTTTGGGGGGTTCCTTATTATAGTTATTATAGAACATACCTCAAAACCCTGTTCGAATAATCGTACGATTTGACAGCGCCGCCCAGCGTGGTGCTGGGAGTCCCCTGAACCCTAAACCCTTATAATCCTTGAACCCGACAAAGCAAGAGGTTTAGAGTCTAGGGGTTCAGGGCGACTCCCAGTGCTGTATCTGCAGTGTACGAGGACAACCATCTGGCAAATTTCTTGGTTATCCCATCTTCTCTTCGTTTGCTCCTGGGATGCCAAGGAATGCAACCGCACCACTCAAAAGGCTCGCAGTCGAAAGGGCAGTGGAGGTTCCAGACTTGCTATATGCAAAGTGGCTTAAATGGGAATAGCCTAGTAGCTTGCCATTTGGACTGCCGCGTCCAACTCACTTGTGTGCTAGCGAAAGCTCTACAGTCACCCAGAGAGCCCAATACCCCTTAATTATAAGGAATATACCTTAAATATTAAGGTTCTTAATATTATGATTTAAGGTATA